AACTCCCCACCCCCTGCTGTCCCTCCCCTATTTCCCCCCAATAGACCCCAGTGTGTAGTGCTCCCCTCCCTGTGTCCATGTGTTCTCACTGTTCAACACCCACCTATAAGTGAGAACGTGTGGTGTTTGATTTTCTGCTCTTGTGTCAGTTTGCTGACAATGATGGTTTCCAGGTTCATCCATGTCCCTACAAAGAACGCAAACTCATTGTTTTTGATGGCTGCATAATATTCCAAGGTGTATACGTGGAGCCAACATTTTAAACCTGGTCTACAGCCTGGAATAATGGAATGAGAGAAAAGGAAAGGATCTGACATGAGTCTTGGTTTCGTGGGTGAGGTATCAGACAGGGTTGAGCTTTAGGTGGAAAGCTCTTTTTGCTATTCCCAGCAGCAGAAAGTAAAACAAAGCAGGGAAAAGTGAACTCGTGTTCTATCTAAATCATACTCCAGAGAAGGTAGAAAATTAGTTTAAATTCTCTTGTATTGAGTAAGAATCAGTTGACAAGTGAGGTTATAGAAGGGGTTCAAAAAGGAATCACAGAAATTATGCCATTTTTTTAAAAAAAGCCACTGAAAAAAAGTGTTTGGTAGTCATTTGAAATACATAGCACATTTTTTTTTCCAGGAAAGAAATGTTTTACATCACTACCAGGTTCTTAGGCTAGTGAGAAATATATATATATATATATATATATATATATATATATATATATATATATATATCTCCATAATGCAGCTGAAATACTACATGTTAGTAATAAAGCTAACAGAACACTGGACTCTTAAAATGATCCATATTGGATAGAGCAGCAAAATAGACTCCACTAAGGCAGAAAAATACATTGCTTTAAGCTAAACTATTTCCTCAAAAAAATCAGGTTTAATGAAACATGTGTGGGTGCTCTGGACTTCGGTATGACCTTTAAAATTGGTATCACCAGTTCAATATTTGTATTTCTAATTTCTTTACAAAGCAACATACTTTTTCTTGATACAAGTATATTGCTAGCACAAGTCTTGCTCATAATAGACATGGATGAGAACACAGGGAGGATGAGGTGTTTTCGTTTAGAGAAAACTAGGGAAGAAGTTGGGAGGGAAAATATAAAGGAGAAAGGAATTAAGAAAATACCTGGGCACCAAAAAGATATAAAATGTTTGCTGGTGGAAGCATCAGCTCAGTTATATAAATAAGTGAATCTGTCGCACACAGGAACAAACGGAAATGCTAACTCTACAGATTACCTCTGTGTATGCTTAGTCAATTCCTGAGCCTCAGATTTCTCATCTGAAAACTGGTATTACCATGCTTGTTTTTATATTAAATGGCCTAATGCATATGGCAATTCCTTGTAACATGCCTGGCATGATAGCGGACTCTGAATGATATTTGTTGAACCTAAAACTGAATCTCTGCAGTCTTTATAAGGAGAAATAATGGAAGTCATAAAGAAGAAAATTTGTATTATTCATTGTTCAAGATAGAATCGTCTGGTGCGTGAAGGAGGGAAGGTGTGATGGTTAATTTTAGGTGCCAGCTTGTCTGGAGTAAGAGATATGCAGATAGCTGGTAAAAAGCATTATTTCTAATTATGTCTTTGAGACTGCTTCCAGAAGAGACTGGCATTTGATTAGTAGACTGGGTAAGGAAGATCTGCTTCCACTTGATATGGTTTGGCTATGTCCTCACCCAGATCTCATCTAGAATTCCCATGTGTTGTGGGAGGGACCAAGGGGGAGGTGATTTAATCATGGGGGCAGGTCTTTCCCATGCTGTTCTCATAACAGTGAATAAGACTCATGAGACCTGATGGTCTGTAAGAAGGAGTTTCCCTGCACAAGCTCTCTTTGACTGCCACCGTCCATGTAAGATGTGACTCGCTTGCCTTCTGCCGTGATTGTGAGGCCTCCCCAGCCATGTGGGACTGTAACTCAGTTAAACCTCTTTTTCTTCACAGTCTCACGTATGACTTTATCAGCAGTACGAAAATGGACCAATGGCACTGCTCTAGATAGCCAAAATGTGGAAGCAAATTTGGAACCGGGTAACAGGCAGGGGTTGGGGCAGTTTGGAGGCCCAGAAGAGGACAGGAAAATGTTGGAAAGTTTGAAACTTCCTGGAGACTTGTTGAATTGCTTTGACCAAAATGCTGATAATGATATGGACAATGAAATCCAGGCTGAGGTGGTCACAGATGGAGATGAGGAACTTTTTGGGAGCTGGAGCAAAGGTGACTTTTGTTATGTTTTACTTAAGACACTGGTGACATTTTACTCCTGCCCTGGAGATTTGTGGAATCTTGAACTTGAGGTAGATGATTTAGGGTATTTGGCAGAAGAAATTTCTAAGTGACAAAGTGTTCAAGAGGTGACATGGGTGCTGTTAAAGGCATTGAGTTTTAAAAGGGAAAAAGAACATAAAAGTTTGGAACATTTGCAGCCTGACAATGTGATAGAAAATTCTGTTTTCTGAGGAAAAATTCAAGCTGGCTATGAAAATTTGCATAAGTAATGAGAAGCTGAATATTAGTCACCAAGACAGTGGGGAAAATGTCTCCAGGGCATGTCAGAGATGTTTGCACCAGCCCCTCTCATGATACGCCCAGAGGTAGTTTAGGAGGAAAAAATGGTTTTGTGGGCTGAGTACAGGGACCCTATAGAGTCTAGGGACTCGGTGCCCTGAGTTCCACCTGCTCTAGCCATGAGTAAAAGGGAGCAATGTACAGCTCAGGATATTGCTTCAGAGGGTGGAAGTGCCAAGCCTTAGTAGTTTTCAAATGGTGCACAGACAGAAGTCAAGAAGTGAGGTTTGGGAACCTCTGCCTGGATTTCAGAGGATGAAATCCTCTGCCCAGGCAGAAGTTTGCTGCAGAGGCAGGGCCCTCTTGGAGAACCTCTGCCAGGGCAGTATGGAAGAGAAATGTGGGACTGGAGCCCCCACATGGAATCCCCAGTGGCACCGCCTAGTGGAGCTGTGAGAAAAGGGCCACTGTCCTCCAGGCCCCAGAATGATAAATGCACTGACAGCTTGCACTGAAGTAAAGGGGGGCTGTTCCTCGTTTTATTGCTAGGGCGGCTAGTATTGTTGTAGATAAAATTTGGTTTAGAGATGGATTAATTGTTCACTGTCTGGAGAATAAATTGTTGAGAATGGCTGTTATGAAGACTACAGATGCGGTTGCCTGTATTAAAAAGTATTTAGTGGCGGCTTCCATGGAGCGGGAGCTTGTGTTTTTAACTGGTATTGGTACAATAGCTAGTATATTTAGTTCTAAGCCTATTCAGATGAGGAATCAGTGAGAGCTTAGTATTGTGATTACGGTTCTGGTTAAAATTGTAAGGGAAATAATGAGGTGGGCTAAAGGATTAATATTAGTATGGAGGGGTTGAACCAACATTTTCGGGGTATGGGCCCAATAGCTTATTTAGCTGACCTCACTTAGAATATGGTGTAATAGGTAGCATGGAGAGTTTTGAGTTCTCAGGTATGGGTTCAATTCCTATCGTTCTAGAAATAAGAGGATTTAAACCTCTATGATTTACTCTGTCAAAATAATTCTTTTGTCAGACATATTTCTTATGTTTGGGGTGGGATGCCAGATATTGGGATGGGTATTGAAATATATACATAGTGCTAGTGTAAGTGGTAAAAAATTTTTTCATAGGAAGTGTGTTGGTCATGGCGAAATCGAGGGTATGCTGTTCGAATTCATAAAAATAGAGTGGCTGAGAGGAGGGTTTTGGCTATAAAATTTATTGTGTAGAGTTCTGGTAGAGCTGTGGTGTAAGTTGTTGCTAAAAAGATGGTAATGGTTAGGGCATTTATTATAATAATACTTAAATATTCTGATGTAAAGAATAGAGCGAATGAGCCTGCAGTGTATTCAATGTTAAATCCTGAAACTAGCTCTGATTCGCCTTCTGTTAAATCAAAGGGAGCTCGGTTGGTTTCTGCAAATGCGGAGATAAATCATATTATGGCTAGGGGTCATGATGGTAGTAGAAGTCAAGAGTGCTCTTGTGTTGTAGTAAGTGAATGTAAGTTAAATGAGCCACTTATTAGTAGGGATGATAGAATAATAGCTAGGGTGATTTCATATGAGATTGTCTGAGCTACGGTGCGTAATGCGCTGATTAATGCATAGTTTGAGTTGGATGCTCATCCGGATCATAAGATTGAATAGTCAGCTAGGCTTGATGTTGCTAGTACAAATAAAAGGCTTAGGCTAAAGTTAATTAGGGGATATGGTATGGGGAGGGGGTCCTAGAAGAAGAGCGATGGAGAGGGCTAAGGTTGGGGCGGTTCCGTACAGGGCTGTAGTGGATGTGGTAGGTAGTAAGGGTTCTTTTGTGAAAAGTTTTATTGCATCGGCAGTTGGTTGATGTGTTCCGCAGGGGCCTACAATGTTAGGGCCTTTATGAAATTGTATATAGCCTAAGATTTTTTGTTCTGTGAGTGTCAAGAATGCCACAGCGATTAAGGGGGGAATAACTAGTAGGAGTAAATTAATTATAAACATGTTGTTAAGAGGAATTGAACCTCTGGTTGTAAAGTTTTAAGTTTTATGCAATTGCCGGGTCTGCCGTTGTAACGAGCCCTGTTCTTGGGAAAGAATAATAATTTATAAGATTGAGATAATTATCATTTGATTTGTGAGGGCGCTTTGTGAAATAGGCTCTATTTCTCTTGTCCTTTCGTACTGGGAGAAATATTTAATACATAGAAACCGACCTGGATTTCTCCGGTCTGAACTCAGATCAAGTTAAGACTTTAATCGTTGAACAAACGAACCTTTAATAGCGGCTGCACCATTAGGATGTCCTGATCCAAAATCAAGGTCATCGATATGGACTCTAAAATAGGATTGCGCTGTTATCCCTAAGGTAACTTAGTTCGTTGATCAAGTTATTGGGTCAATAAATATAGATTTACTTAGGTTAGTAAGGTCTTGGTATATGTCTTTCAGGGGCTGTGCTGTACTCTGAGGTCACCCCAACCAAAATTTATAATACATAGACAGTGGGTTAGTGCCTGTGGGTTTTTAAGATATTAGTTTGTATTATTAAATTGAAGCTCCATAGGGTCTTCTCGTCTTATTTAGGTATCTCCGCCTCTTCACGGATAGGTCAATTTCACCGATTAAAAGTAAGAGACAGTTAAACCCTCATGTTGCCATTCATACAAGTCCCTATTTATAGAACAAGTGATTATGCTAGCTTTGCACGGTCAGGGTACTGCGGCCGTTAAACGTGTCACAGCGCAGCCAGTGCCTCTAATACTGGTGATGCTAGAGGTGATGTTTTTGGTAAACAGGCGGGGGTAAAGTTTGCCGAGTTCCTTTTACTTTTTAAAATCTTTCCTGGAGGCATGCCTGTGTTGGGTTAACAGTTTGGGTAATAGATTAGCTAAGCTGCAGGGTGTCATGATTAGGTTGTTAACTAACAGTAGTTGTTTGGGTCTGAGATAAGCTTATTCGGGGAGAATAATTTCATGTTACTTATACTAACATTATTGCTTCTATTAAGTAATAGATGAGTCCAATGTGTTTTAGGAGTTCAGTAGAATGAATAGAATTGGGAGGAAGGCAGCAAATCACACTGCCATGTGTGTACCTATGCATCGATCTTGCATGCTCTTCACATGTACCCCCAAACCTAAAATGCAATAAAAAATACAATTAAAAAAAAAGAGTAATTGAGCATTGAGCTTAAATGCTTTCTTAATTGGTGGCTGCTTTTAGGCCAACTATGGTAGTGAAATGTTTTACTCTCTATAAAAGGTTATTTCCTAGGATCTAAAGAGCTGTCCCTCTTTAGACAAACGATTAAATTTATGGGAGGATTCAATAGTTCTGTAAGTAAATTTAAGGTTGAGCCAAGATTCTGTCTTGGACAACCAGCTGTCACCAGGCTCAGTAGGTTTGTCGCCACTGCCCATCCCATAGATTTTCCCACTATTTTGCCACATAGACGAGCGTGTTCTTTTAGCTATCCTTGGGTAGCTCGCTTGGTTTCCGGGGGACGTTGTTGAAGTTCTCTACACAAAGCTATTTCTAGTTATCATTATGCAGAAGGTAGAAGGGTTAGTCTTTGCTTTTTATGCTTTATTAGGTGTTTGTCTTTCCCTTACAGTACTATATCTATTGCGCCTAAGTATAATTTCTATCGCCTATCCTTTTGTAACAGGTAAATGATTTAATTATTGTAGTTAAATACTATTTATATGAGGTTGGGGCTAGAGTTAGCGCAAAGCGATCAGCTGTTGGTGAGATCTTCTGGGTGTAGGCCGCATGCTTTAGTTTCAGCTACACTTTGATTCGTCCAAGCGCACTTTCCAGCACGCTTACCATGTTACGACTTATCCCCTCTGTATCAGTGTGTAGTGGCTTATTGGCAAAACACTTTAATGTGATGTTTGAGGAGGGTGACGGGCGGTGTGTGTGAGCTTCATGACCTTATTTCAATCAAGCTCTCTATTCTTGATTTACTGCTAAATCCAACTTAGGTCTTTAGATTTCATAAAGACTAGTGTATAGTTTTCTCATTTAGAAAATGTAGCCCATTTCTTCCCACTTCTTTGGCTGCACCTTGACCTCACGTTTTTATGACAATACTTGTGCTTGCTTTATGATCTTTAAGGAGTTTGCTGAAGATGGCGGTATGCAGGCTGAGGGCAAGATGTGGTAAGGTCTGTAAGGGTTAATCGATTATAGAACAGGCTCCTCTAGAAGGACATAAAGCACCGCCAGGTCCTTTGAGTTTCAACCTATTGCTTGTAGTGTTCTAATGAATAATTTTGTTGGTTAAGTTATTGAGGTTTAGGGCTAAGCACAGTGGGGTATCTAATCCCAGTTTGTACCTTAGCTATAGCGTATTCAGGGTGTTAAAGCCACTTTCATAGAATATTTTACTATAACTGGGGTTTTCTACAACTTATTATAGATTAGTTTTATTGGGAAGAAAATCTTAAACACTCTTTACGCCGGATTCTATTAACCTGAGTCAATTGTATGGCCACGGTGGCTGGCACGAAATTGACCAACTCTAATAGTCAGTGTAATTTAAACTTTCATTTATTGCTAAAAGTTTGTCACTGCTGTTTCCCGCGGGGGCGTGGCTAAGCAAAGTGTTTTGAGCTGCATGTGCGTGCTTGATACTAGCCTCTCATGTTCTGATAACCTAGAGGGCATTTTCACAGGGCTGTGGATGCTTGCATGTGTAATTCACTGAGAGCTCATAGAAAGGCTAGGACCAAACCTATGTGTTTATGGGGTGATTGCCTGTCTAGACATTTTCAGTGTCTTGCTTTAAATATTAAGCTACCTTAACTTGATACACACTTATATATGTGAGCGATGGGCTCATATTGTTGGTGGTTTTAAATTTAATCTACTAAAATATAAGTATGTTTTCTGAAGGGTTTAATTCAAGGTATGTGAAGAGTAACCATGACCAATAGTATTTATTAGGATGTAGAGTAATTGCAGGGGTGGGCATGTTTGCTAGTTAGTGGGACCTATATTTAAGGTATTATATTAGTAGGGGGTGTCTCTTTATGATAGCTGACCCAGAAGATACAGATTGGAGTCAGATTTTGGATACTGTTTTTGGTTATTAGATTGTGGTTTGGGGTTTATTGAGTATAATTAAGTGTAAATACTAATTATTTATTATGTCCTGCAAGCATTGACTGAATAGCACCTTGTGGTTGGGATGGGGACCAAGACATTCAGTGTAGGTGTGATGATAGCATAGAGCCTGGCAAATCACATTCAGGTACCACAGCAAAATGGTTGGAAGACTTAAGCCTCCCAGCGATGGTGACTGATTACACCCCCAGAAGTTAATTTACTAAAGGCTGGTCATGCTCCTGTGATTGAGTTAAGAGGGTGACAGCACCACACCATCGTGATGTCTTATTTAAGAAGAACATATGTACGGCCTTAATGATTTGGTCCAGACGTAGGAACCAAATGCCAGATATAGTTCCAGTATAAGCAAGCCCTGTCTATATGGGCCCGGAGCGAGAAGAGTGGCGGATGTGGGCAGGTTGCTGGTTTCATGGAGGATGGTAGATTAAGAGACCAAAATATGCTAGAGGATATCCATGTTGGGGAGCACTATTGAAGTATAAATGTGCTGTGTCTGATTAATCATGTGATGTATAAATGTACTCTTAATGATTCTATGTACTGAATGATATCCGTGTGTTGTAATGTCCTGTATGTACTGTATAGATCTAAATGTATTATAGTTTCATGTGCAATTACAGTTCTTGCTTGTAAGCATGTTTTATGATATTTTAATGTACATTTTAATTGAATGTACAATGTATGATTAAGCATTTATAGTACTATGTGTTCATGGGGATAAACAATAATGCGCTAAGTACAGAGCAGGGAAAAAGAATAATATATGTACTTGCATATTACTTACAGAGAGAGCATTCTATAATACAGGGAATAGTTTAAAATTAGAATTTCAGCTCTGGGTGTTGATGGTAGAATGAGGCATTCTTTCCCTGAGATTGTCCTGGGGAGTCAACGTTCTCCATTTCCGGTTTAGAGGACCAGGGCATTCAATTATACTACAAGGACGCTTATCACTTAAGTAGTTTGTTTTCGACTAGGGCGGAGAGCGGAATGAGGGTGAGAATAACAAGGAAATATATAATGGATGCAGTTTGGCCAATAGTAATAAAAGGGTATTCGACTGGCTGGCCTCCAATTCGTGTAAGTAAAAGTAGATCCGCTACTAGGGTTCAGGATAGGCTTTGACTGATGGCTTGGAATGCTGTGCTTTGTTGTTTGGATAGATGTGTTATAGGGATAATTATTAGGATTAGAATGGAAAGCATGAGAGCGAGGACGCCCCCTAGTTTGTTGGGGATTGATCATAAGATTGCATATGCAAATAGAAAGCATCACTCTGGCTTAATGTGGGGCGGAGTATTGAGGGGATTAGCTAGAGTGTGGTTGTCTGGGTCCGTTAAAAGTTCGGGTGTGCGCATGTTCTCACGCATAGGCGGGCGTTGAACAATGAGAACACATGGACACAGGGAGGGGAGCACTACACACTGGGGTCAGTTGGGGGGAAATAGGGGAGGGACGGTGGGGGGTGGGGAGCTGGGGAGAGATAGCAAGGGGAGAGATGCCAGATGGAGGTGATGGGGAGGAAGGCAGCAAATCACACTGCCACGTGTGTACCTATGCAACAATCTTACATGTTTTCACATGTACCCCAAAACCTAAAATGCAATAAAATGGAAAAAAAAAGTTTGGGTGTGAATAAGGTTAGGCTTATTAGGAATGGGAGGAGAAAACCCCAGGATATCTTTGGTTGTGTAGTAGGGGTGAAATATGATTTGATCGGGGTTTGATGTCACTCCTGAAGGGTTATTTGATCCTGTCTCATGTAGAAACAAAAGGTGGATAGCTGCTAGAGCTGCAATAATGAAAGGTAAGATGAAGTGGAAAGTAAAGAATCGTGTAAGGGTGGCCTTGTCTACTGAGAAGCCACCTCAGATTCACTGTACAAGGTCAGACCCAGTATAGGGAATGGCTGATAGTAGATTTGTAATCACTGTAGCCCCTCAGAGTGATATTTGGCCTCATGGAGAGACGTAGCCTATAAATGGTGTGGCTATAGTTGTAAGCAGAAAGGTAATACTGATGTTTCAAGTCTCCAAAAAGAGAAAAGATCCAAAACACAGGCCTCGGCCAACATGAAGAGAGAGGCGGATAAAGAATATGCAGGCACTGTTGGCATGTAAGGAACGGATTATTCAGCTGTAGTTAACATCTCGGGTGATATCGGTGACGGAGGAAAAGGCGGTTGAAGTGTCTGGTGCGTAGTGTATGGCTAAGAATAAGCCTGTGGTAATTAGAATAATTAGGCAGATGCCGAGAAGTGAGCCAAAATTTTATCAAGAGGAAATGTTAGATGGTGTGGGGAGGTCGATGAATGAGCTGTTGATCATTTTTGTTAGTGGGTGTGTTTTGTGGGGGATAATCATTAGGATTATTACAGCTGAAGTACAACAGTGGTTTCTCGTATCATTGATCGTGGTTATAATCCATGTGGGAATAATGACATATGCTTTATTTTCATTATTATTTTAGTGATAGGATTTGTAGGGTTTTCTTCTAAGCCTTCACCTATTTATGGGGGCTTGGGGTTGATTTTTAGTGGTGCTGTAGGTTGTGTAATTACATTATATTTTGGTGTATCTTTTATAGGGCTTATAGTTTTATTAATTTATTTGAGTGGATTAATAGTTGTTTTGGGTTATACTGCAGCGATAGCAATTGATGAGCATCCTAAGACATGAATATCAAGTACTGATATTTTGGGGTCTTTATTGTTAGGTATAATGATGGAAATGACCATGGTAAGATTATTGGGTGAGTGTAATGAGGTGGTAGAAATTACTGCTAATTATAAGACTGTAGCAAGTTGAATAGTTTATGAGGGCAAGGGGCCGGGGTTAATTCGCGAAGATCCTACAGGTGCTGCTGCTTTATATAATTATGGGGTTTGAGTTGTTTCCGTTACTTGCTGGGCGTGGTTTATGGGCATGCACATTTCGATTGAGCTTACTTGGGGTAGGGGTTACATGGTTAAAAGTAATGCGAGAGTGGGTGGGATAAAGAAAGACAGAAGTAGAGCTCAATGAAGCCTTTTTGGGATGATGCAGTGGTGGAGATTGAAATTTGAGTCTCTGTTATTATTTTTGGCATGGAGTTTTCTATCAAAATAGATCTAGTCAAACTGAGGTGAAGTTCCGGCTCGCAGTGAAGCATGAAAGGGGCTTGAAGCAATGAGTAGCGGTTGAGTAAAAGCCCAGTCCGTTAGAAAAGGAACAAGTTTTGATTGGGGTGCTTCATTTTGTATTGTTGGTTATGAGGTTGAGTTCTACTGCTAGAAGCAGCCCTAAAATAGTTATGCGTCAAGCTGTTAGTTAAGATAGTATGGGATAGTTATTTGAGGGAATGAAGTAGGAGGAATGCAGTTAGAAGTAAGAAATGCAGCGAAAATACTACCTATTGCTAGGCGATAAATTGGGTTTATTAGTAGAGGGTTGTTTTCATTGATTATAAGAAGAGTTGTAAAGCGGGTTGTCCTGTTAGAGTCAAGAAAATGATGCGGATGCTGCATATAGCTGTTAGGGAGTGGCTGGGAGAGTAGCTATATGGGCTCAGGTGTTGGTATATGACATATTAGAGGTTTCGATACGGTCTTTTGAGTAGAAGCCTGTGATAAAAGGTAGACCTGTGAGTGCAAAGCTGCCGATGATGAGGGAGGAGGCGGTAAAGGGTAAAGTTTTAAAAAAGCCTCCTATGTTTCCAATGTCTTGTTCCTTGTTGAGGTTATGGATAATAGATCCTGCAGATAGAAATAATACGGCTTAAAAAAAGGCGTGGGTACAGATATGAAGAAAGGCTAGATGTGGTTGATTAATGCTGACTGTTAATATCATGAGTCCTAGTTGGCTTGAGGTTGAAAAAGCTACGATCCTTTTTACATCATTTTGTGTTACAGCATATATTGCTGTCAATAGGGTGGTGAGGGCTCCTAGTGATAGCATGAGTGTCTGAATAAGCAAGTTGTTTTTTGATTAAGGGATGAAAGCAGATAATTAAGAAGATTCCTGCAAGGACGACTGGGCTAGAGTGAAGTGACGCCGAAACTGGAGTAGGTCCTTGTACAGCGGAGCGTAGTCATGGGTGGAGACCAAATTGGGCTGATTTTCCTGTTGCAGCTAGGAGGAGGCTTATGAGAGGGAAGGAGTTTGGGGCAGAGTTAAGGACAAATAGTTGTTGAAAATCTCATGAGTTGGAGTATAGAAAGAATCATGCTATTGCTAGAAGAAAACCGATATCGCCGATAATGATTGTACAGAATTGCTTGGAGGGCTGCTGTGTTGGCGTCTGCTCGGCTGTGCCATCAGCTGATTAGTAGAAAAGATGTAAGGCCTATTCCTTCTCGCCCAATAAAAAGTTGAAACAGGTTGTTAGCGGTGATTAGAATTCATATTGTAATAAGGAAGGTGAGTAAATACTTGAGAAATTGGTTAATGTTTGGGTCTGAATTTATATATCACATTGAGAGCTCTACCAATGACCAGGTGACGAATAATGCTACGGGGGTCAATACTGTGGAAAAGAAGTCTAGTTTTAAGTCTAGTGATAATTAATTTGATGGTTTGAATTGTTGTTCAATGTCAGCTTGAAATGATAGATTCTTGGCCTGTGAAGATAAATATTGTCATGGATAGAATGCTAACAGTAAAAGCATACATGATAGCTAGTTTTACATAATGCTGATATAAAATTTTTTGGCGGGGGTTAATTAGAGTAATTATGATAGGCGTTAGTAAGGGGACTAGCGTTATTAAGGTGGTGGAAGAATGCCGTTTTTTTATTTGGAGGTGCACCCACGTTTTTGGCTCCTAAGACCAATGGATAACTGCTATCCTTTAAAAGTTGACAAAGCCAAGCTGTTAGGCATGGGGGCATGAATTGGCAGTTGCTGCATACTTTCTCGGTAGGTAAGAAGTTATGGGCTTCTATTATGAGACTCACAATCGAATGTTTTGATTAAACTATAGCTACATGGCGCAGGTCCTATAACTGTCTCAGGGTTTAGGGTGAGGAGAAGGATGGGTGCCATGTGCGTTAGTATCAGTGTGTTTTCTCGTGTGAAGGGGTTTGACATTACTAGTACTATATGTTAATGGTCCTCGCTGCGTTGAGGTAAGTCTGTGTGGTGAATATGGGGCTGTATGTAAAGTGATGTATTTGTTGACGAACAAAACATGGGGCAAGGAATGTGGTTGCAATGATAACATGAAGGCCAAGAAAGCCTGTAGCTATAAAGACTGTAGAGCCATAAATTCCATCAGAAATAGTGAAGGAAGCTTCAGAGTATTCTGAGATTTGTCGAACGGTAAAGTCAATACCTAGTGTGATAGTCATGGCTAGTGCTTGACTTGATTCTTCTTGGTTAGCCTGTATCAGGCTGCGGTGTGCTCAGGCAATTGTAACTTCTGATGCAAGTAGAATAGATGTGTTTAGAAGTGGCGCTTCTAGAGGGTTAAGGGGGAAAATACCTGTGGGGGGGTCAAGGTCCTCCTGTTTGTGGGGTTGGGGCTAAGCGACAGTGGTAAAATGCTCAGAAGAAACCAGCAAGAAAGAACATTTCTGAAATAAGAAATAGGACCATTCTGTGTCGGGGGCCTTTTTGAAGAGGCATAGCGCGGTGGCCTTGATATGTGCTCTCTCGGACTACATCACATCATCATTGAAATCATGTTGTGGCGCTAGCCAATAGTCCTGCGGTAAGGAGAAGAGTATAGTGCAAATGAAATCATATAATTAGGCCGGAGGTTACTAGACAGGGGGACAGGGCTCCTGTTAGTGCGCAGGGACTTGGACTATGTGATAAGCGTGTGTTTGGTGTGTCATTATGAATTATTGTATAGATAGAGGCTAAAAGTGTGAAAACATAGGCTTGAATTCGAGCCATGCCCAATTCTAGGATAATTAATAGGATGATAATAGTAATTGTGGAAGAAGAGAGGTAGATGGATAGTAGAGTTAATGTGGTTTCTCCGAGTAGGTGACCTGCTGTGACGTTAGCTGTTAATCATATGGCTAGTGCTACGGGTTGAATAAAAAGGCTGATTGTTTCGTTGATGATGAGTATAGGAATAAGTGGGATAGGCGTTCCTTGGAGCAAGAAATGGGCTAGAGATGCTTTTGTTTTCAATCGAAATCCTGTGCGTACAGTGGCTGCTCATAAGGGAACTGCTATGCCTAAAGTGATTCCTATTTGATATGATGGTTTTATCAGTTTACCTGCACAAGCTCTCTTCACCTGCCACGACCCATGTAAGATGTGACTTCCTCCTCCTTGCCTTCCACCGTCATTGTCAGGTCTCCCCAGACATGTAGAATTATAAATCCATTAAACCTCTCTCCTTTGTAAATGGCCCAGTCTCAAATGTGTCTTTATCAGCAGGGTGAAAGTGGATTATTAACACCACCCAGCGTGGGTGGGTACATCCAATCAGCTAAAGACCTATGTGGAACAGAAAGACAAGAAAAGGTGAATTCACGCTTTCTTCTGCAGCGGGGACACTCTTCTCCTCCTGCCCTTGCACCACACAACGACAGGTTATCTGGCCTTTGAACTTCATACTTTCACCAGTCCCCTGTTCCCCATCCTGAGTTCTCAGGCCTTCAGCCTCAGACTGAGAATTACACCACTGGTTTCCCTGGTTATGAGGCTTCTGGACTCGGACTAAGCCATGCTACAGCTGCTCTACCCACATATCTATCCACTCATCCTTTTGGTTCTGTCTCTGGAAAAGCCTAATATATCTAGCAAAAGATAAAAAGGTCAACCTGAGACAAAGCCTAGAAAACGTAGCAGATGCTGGCTAAATGCTCACCAAATCCATTTTTCTCTTAAGTAAATTTTGCAAATTCCTCTCATATATATATGAGAGACCATGCCAGCAGTTCTTGCCATAGATATGAATAAAGGTGATCTGCCACTTGCAGTTAAGTGACAGAAGTTACATAAGCACCTGCCTTGTCCTTGGTCTCCCTTCTTCCTGTCTACCAGCTGGATGATGTCAGGACAACCCTTAACTGTGTATCGAAGGAGACCATCACATGGCAGGAGCCTGAGTCCCTGAATAGTTGCCTGGAGAAGAGGCCCACTCCCACACTATCTAAATTTGGACCAGGGAGTGGAGTGAATAGAAAAGAAACACTCACTGTGTTGATCCATTGAGATTTTGAAATTGTCATAGAAGCCAGCATCCTTTACAAGTAGAGCCTAAATGGGGGAAAAGAGGGAACATTATGTAACAAGAGCTAAATTTATGTACACTTAGGAAGTGAATGTCCAGATTCAAAGAACAGATAAATTGCTTGGTAATTCTATATGTCACTAAATATTCCCCGTGGATTCCTGTCAGCTTCTCCTGTCCATTTAAAAATAATGCATTTCAGCATGTTTGTTTGTGGGTACAGTTATTATATGTAAAAGGGATATACCAGCATGCTACCCAAACTGACTGCACTGTCATGGATTCCCAAAGGAGGTGAGATTTCTCTCCACTGGAGAGACGTTTATTTGGTAGTCAACAAAGTGCAAGAGTGTATTTTCTGAGATACTTGCTTAGGAGCTCAAAATTTAAACTTGCAACATTGGCTTGGCCTCTTGTTTAAGATAATAAAAGTTGCTTCCATTGGAGATATAACATTCAGAATGCCCATTGTGTATATTTTTCCAATTAATTGGACTTTAATTACTTTGCAGAAAATCTATAAAAAGAGTCATCAAAGTTTTGAAGCTGAGAACAAGCTAGTTCATATTCCATTTACTTTCCATAGAGCAATCTCACCATGAAACCGAAGAAAAAAATAGCCTATTTAATTTTCTTCTGTTGAGGTTTATAAAGGCCCAATAGAGGCTACTATCTCTAATTTTTAAAAGAGATAATTATTTAGAAATACAAATGCCAAGAAATAAAATAGGCTCAGGTATGCTGTGTTAAATCAAGGTGACCCTTCATGTTAGTTTCCTATAGTACTTTTTTTTGTGTGTGTGTATATACACAAAAATACACACACACACACACACACACACACACACACACACACACACGCACGCACGCACGCATATCTGCTCATTATTCAGCCCAAGCAAGGTAAAAAGAAAATCCAACAAGAATGTAGTAACATAAAGCTAATTCCTTGATTTTCCTCATTTTCATATTTTTTTCTGGGGTACTTTCACTTGCCTACATTGGAGGGTAAAATAAAAAGGATTATGTTTGTAAATGTTTAAGAAAATGTATTTAACCTCCATTACCGAATATATAGTCCAGTGGGAAAAGGGTGAAGATACAACATTTGACTAAGACGTAATAGTTTAACTAGAAGGAAGTTGTTCACCAGCTGGCTAGCTGGTGAGAGGAACTGATGTACCAGGATGCAAATGGGATTCAGTGATAAGAGAAGCAATACCGCGTGGGATCTGGGCTGTATCCTGCCCTTTACTCCATGAGAACATTGGTGTTAAATGGAGAGGAAGCCACTTTTAAATCCCATCCTAAATATGTCCAATGCGGTCAATGAAAAAGACATTTTTGGCATTTGGAGCAGAACAGCAGACTGGATAGGAAGCTACAAGCTAAATAAAAAGGGAAACCTGAAATTAAAATCCCATCAAAATCTATCAGTTCAGTATGGTTAGGATACATCCTTACCAAGAGGGAGATGATTGCCCTTGAGGGCATCTCAAAAATCTCTTTCCAGATCTGAATTGTGATGCTGTAAGACTCTGAGTTGAGAGATAATTGGCTGAATATTTTATCTTTGATTTGGAATTTCAAATCTTCAACCAAGTCCTGGATGCAATTGCAACAATGCTTATTTTCTGACCACGGCTACTGATACCTACTTCATAATACTGTTGAGTATTTTCCTGTGGCCTGAATTAGTTTAACGTTTCTCACAAGTAATTGCAGTGGCTTCACTCCATGATATGTCTCTCAGGGCACTCTTGGAAATTAAATGTTACTTCTCAACAGTTATTTGCTTACTTCATCTTCATTTTATTAAATAATCATAAAACACTTTCAAATTTAACTATCCCTGCTCTGTTATCTGAAAGTTCTGGCAAGACAGGTAGGCCGGATAAAAGGAAGCCAACCCTGGTCTCTCTGTCCTTTTTCAGTGAATTTTCCATTGGCATTGAGTGGATCCCATGTCTGGGGCTTTATGGAGTTTTAATGGTCTGTGCTCACTGGGGTCCTGGGTTATTTTCAGTAACCACAGCTGAAATTGCTGCTGTTTAGAAGTGGCTCAAACCTTTTTAACAATGTTAAAAATACCTAACCTCACAAGAGCAAAAGAATGTACTATTTTTTATTTTGTTTTTGAAAAGTTGTTTTTTTTTTTTTTTTTTTTTTTTTTTTTTTTTTTTTTTTTTTTTTTTTTTTTTTTTTTTTTTTTTTTTTTTTGCAAGATTCCTGAAGATTTATTCTGGCTGAAAAAATAAGTAGGAAGGGTTCCAAGACCCCTGCAGGTGATCTCGTGACAATGATTAGACACCTTATCTGGGTCCAGTTGGTTATAAGGGCTTGTCCCTCATTTTAGGCATGGTTTCTTCTAGAAGAGTTATTTGAGGTTGCCTGACTACAGAATTTGGAGGAGAGAATATTGTCCTCATTTAAAGACGTTCAGGCAGTGAGACATTAATGAGTTGTTTAAATTTAACAAAACAGAGTTATGCTGAATTCCAAGCTCAGCTATTCCAGAGAAGCATGGGGTAGCAGAGAGGTCTTGGGCTTTGAACGTAGACACACTTGATTTGATTCTAGGAGCTGCCGCTTACTAGCTGTACATCCTTTTACATCTTAGTAATCTCTGAGTGTCAGATTTCTAAAACTCAAAATACAGTCCAACGTACAGAGCTGATATAAATTATCAAAAAATACCTTTCATGTATCCAAACTATAATCAATAATAATAAATGATAACCACTATTACTATATTGCTTGTATTAATACCAACACACTGCTTGGTTTAAGGCTGACAATTGTGATATAAATCATGATATAGCCCAGGAATGTGATTTAGAAAGCCTTACGTTCTATTCCCTTCCCTTGACCACTCGACATGGTAGCTTCTCCTTCATCAAAAGCACAATATATAGGTCTGATGTTTTCGCAGAGAAGGCTGTGCGTATTAGCTAACGCAAAAGCGAAAATTGGCATTCTTATCCCAATTTTCCCTCTCTTAATTCTATTGTGTGATCGTAGGCAAGTAAGTACAATTTTCCATTTCTTTGAGAGGAAGGGCAGAGGACTTTACCTGCTATATCTCCGTAATTATTTCCAAGACACGAGTGAGGGTGACTGCAATATTGTCCCTCAAGTACTTGGCATTCCTTGGAAGAAAACATGATGTAATTGCACTTTAATAACTTCGATGAAAATGTATCCTAGGGCCATAAAATGTTTCTCTACAACATTAGATCTAGGCGAGTTATTATGATTACCTCTTAAGAAGTGTTCAGATTAACAGATATATGATTATAAAGTCCATTACAAAGGCAGAATCAGAAGGAAGAGGTAGAGAAGAGAACATTTTAAACAGAGAAGTTCTTTTTATCACTTCTGCTGCCAGGCTCAGTAGGGGAATGCCTGAACAAGGAGGTCTGTCCTGAATATTATTTCTGTCTCCCTACTTCCCCTACATTAGAAGCTTTCTTAAAGAAACTCCTCTCTGTAGCCAGGCTTGATGATTAATGTTAGGTGTTGACTTCACTGAATGAATAGAGGGCTGCCTAGATGGCTGATGAAGCAGTTTCTGGGCCTATCTCTGAGGATGTTTAAAGAGAAGATTGCTATGTGAGTTGGTGGACTAAGTGGGGAAGATTTGTGCCCAATGTGGATGGACATGACTCAATCAACGTGGGGCCCCAGTGGAACAAACAGGTGGAAAAAGCGTCAATTCGCTCCTTCTCTCTTCAGGAAAGGGACACTCATTTCCTGCCCTTGGATATCAGAATTCCAGGTTCTTCAGGCTTTGAACTCTGAAACTTACACCTTTACCCTCTCAAACCTCTCAGATCTTTGGTCTTGGATTGAGGATTACAGCATTGGCTTCTTTAGTTCTCAGGACAAAGAGACTTGTTCTAAGACCTGTTATTGGCTTCTCCGGGTCTCTAGCTTACAGGCAGCCTATGATGAGACTTCTCAGCCTCTAGAATCATGGGAGCCAATTCCCCCCAATAAGTCCCTTTCATCTATCTATCATCTATCTACATGTTTTTCTTTCTATCTATCTATCTATCGTCTGTCTGTCTGTCTGTCTGTCTATCCATCCTGCCTATCATCTATCTACCGATTTTTCTATCTGTCCTATTGGCTCCTTCTCCAGAAAACCCTGACTAATGTAGCATGTGTATAGGCAATGATATGGGAGTCAAACCACTTGGGTCTACCAGTTTAGCCCCACCAAGCTATGTGATTCCTTACAACATTCATTCAGTAAACACTAGTGCCTTCTGTGCTAGGTGTTATAGATATGAAATATATACAACATGGTTCTTGACTTCAGTTGAAAATGGCTTAGTGGAGGTAACCACATGTGCATAAATAAATCTATTTAATTCTTAAAACATTTTATGGCTGATTTCCCATAGTTGATTATTCTTAGCCAATTATAGTAATTTCAACCTTCATTCCACCCACCCACCCCACCCCCCTGCTATCGATGAATTCAGTGATAGAACTTTAAGTCTAAGCTAACTTCAGTACTAAAACATTAGGTGTAATTTTTTCAGACACTTCTGGAAAAAATGCCATCTTGCTCCAAAGAGGTCATCTAATGCTTTTAAGGTACACCACACCTCAGAATGTTGTTAAATCTGCCAGTTGCGGAGTAGGGCATGTCCCAGGTGTAGATGCTATTACACACTTAGGACAGAGTAGATACTATGTCCTAGGTAATATACATAAGTAGCTGGTTTAAGCAAGCTGAGGTTGTCTTGCTCTGCCTGCAGACTTAATGCTATCTAAGCTAGTAAATGAATGTGTTGTTTAACCCAGTCTGCAATAAATTTGTACTTACTTGCAGCCAGAACCATCATAGCTGAATGCCAGTTTAGTGCTTTCCATATCACATGATCATGAAGGTCTCCTCTGATTCTTGTTTAAAACTCAAACTCTTGGGTAACCCTTAAGGATAATCTGACCCACTAGGACTGACATAAGGAAGGCCCGGGAATCAGGGTTTTTAATAAGTGTCCCAGGTGATGTTCATCTTTAGCTATAGTTCAGATCATGGTTCTGACTGCTAGAATAGGGACACAAATTAAGTGCAGGCTTAGCAACTGACTCAGCCTGGAGGAGTTAGGGATGGTCTTCTGAAACAAGGGGACATTTGAGCTGTGCCTTGAAGAATGAGTGGGGGCTTGCTAGGCTAAGAAGACGTCTTCCCAACAAAGGACGTCTCAACAAAATACTTCTCTCTCAGGCCTTTCTTTTCTCATCTATAAAATGAGGACATTATAAAAGAAAGCCTTGGACTTGACCAAGATGGCCAAATAAAAGCAACTACAATATTCAACACTCCTGGAGAGAAATGAAAATGGCGAATGAGTTCAAGACCTTCAACTGAAATATGCAGGTTCTCACATTGGAACTGCCTAGACAAACAGCTCGACCCGCAGAGAATCACGAAAAGCAGAATGGGGTGATGGCCCACCTGGGAGTGGCATAGAGCCAAAGGAACCACTACCCCAGCCAAGGGAAGTGGTGAGTGATTCTGTGATCCCTCCCTGGAAAATCACACTTCTCCCACAGTTCTTCGCAGCCAGCAGATGAAGAGATGCCCTTCCGAGCCCACACCACCAGGACCTTTGGCCTGATACAGAGAGCTGTGTGAAGTCCCTGCAGAGCAGCTGCTGGGCACTCACAGAGACCCGGGAGTTTGGCATACGCTGGCCACAGCATTTTTGCCAAGGTAGGAGATCCATTCCTACATACCCCTAGGAGGGGAGTTAAATCCAGGGACTGAGCAGCATCATTCTGCAAGCCCCACTTCCATGACATCTCACAAGTTCAGACCCTTTGGCTTGGAATTCCAGCTAGCCAGTGGCAACAGGCTGGAGTCTGCCTGAGAAAGACCAAGGTCCTGGGAAGATGGGTGGCTGCCATTCTGCAGTCTGGATGACTCAGCTGTTCCAGCCTGCCAGCTCTGGAGAGTCCAGACAGCCCGGATGAAGAAGAGCCCCCCCGCCCCCCCAATAACACAGCACAGCTCTGCGACCATAAAGCAGCCAGGCTGCTTCCTTAAGCAGGTCCCTGATCCCATTCCTCCTGACTGGGTGAGACCTCCCAACAGAGGTCTCCAGCCACCTCCATCAGGCACAATTTGGGCTGGCAATGGGTCAGCATGTCCCTGGGACTCAGCTTCCAGAGAAAGAAGCAGGCTGAAATCTTTGCTGTTCTGCAGTCTTCAATGATAATACTTCAAGGTACATGAAAAACCAAAGCAACTAGGATCTGGAGTGGACCCCTGGCAAACTGCCGCCGTCTTACAGAAGAGTAGCTTGACTATTAAAAGAAAAACAGAAAACAACAAAAACAACATAAACAAAAAGACCCCACTAAAACCCCATTCCAGAGTCAGCAGCCTCAAAGATGGAAGGTAGTTAAGCCCACAAAGATGAGAATCAACACAAAAACCCTGAAAAGCCAAAAACCCGGAGTGCCTTATCTCCTCTAAATTACTGCAACATCTTTCCAGGAAGAGCACAAAACTGGGCCAAGGCTGAGATGGCTAAATTGACAGAAGTAGGTTTCAGAAGGTGGGTAATAATGAACTTTGATGAGCTCAAGGAGCATGTTGTAACCCAATGGAAAGCAGCTAAGAATCGTGATAAAACAGTACAGAAGCAAATAGCTAGTTTTGAGATGAAAATAACCATCCTAATGGAGCTCAAAAACATAACACAAAAAATATATAATGCAATCACAAGTATCAACAGCAGAATTTCAGAGCTTGGAGAATACCTTTCTAAAATAAGACAGGCAGACAGGAATAGAGAAAAAAATAAAGAATGAAAAGGAATGAACAAAACCTCTGAGAAATGTGGGATTATGTAAAGAGACGGAACCTATGATGTATTAGGTACCTGAAAGAGACGAGGAGAATGGAACCAAGTTGGAAAACATACTTTGGGATATCATTCAGGAGAACTTCTTCAACCTAGCAAGACAGGACAACATTCAAATTCTAGACCTGCAGTGAACCCCAGTAAGATACTACCCAAGAGGATCAACCCCAAGACACATAATCATCAGATTCTCTAAGGTCAAACTGAAAAAGAAAGGTAAGGACAATCAGAGAGAAAGGCCAGGTCATCTACAAAGGGAAGCCCATTAGACTAACAGTGGATCTCTCAGGAGAAATCATACAAGCCAGAAGATATTCAACAGTCTTAAAAAAAAAAAAGTATTTCCAACCTAAAATTTTATATCTGACCAAACTAAGCTTCATAAGAAAAGGAGAAATAAGATATTATTTGTACAAGCAAATACTGGGGCATTTGTCTCCACCAGGGCTGCCTTGCAAGAGCTCCTGAAGGAAGCACTAAATATGGAAAGGAAAAACTTACTAGTCACTACAAAACACACTGAAGTACACAGACACTATGAAGCAACCATACAGACAAGTCTGCAAAATAACTAGCTAGCATCATGAGGACAGGATCAAATTCACATATAACAATACTAAGCTTAAATGTAAATAGGCAAAATGCCCCAGTAAAAAGACACAGAATCACAAGCTGGATAAGGAGCCAAGACCCATTGGTATGATGTCTTCTAGGGAGCCACCTCACATTCAAAGAAACACATAGGCTCAGAATGAAGGGATGGAGGGAAATTTACCAAATGGAAAGCAGTGAAAAGCAGGGATTGCAATCCTCGTTTCTGACAAAACAGAGTTTAAACCAACAAAGATCAAAAAAGACAAGGACATTACATAATGGTAAAGGATTCAATTCAACAATAACTAGCTATCCTAAATATATATACACCCAATACATGAGCACCCAAATTCATAAAGCAAATTCTTAGAGACCTGCAAACAGAGTTAGACTCCCACACAAAAATAGTGGGTGATTTTAACACCTCACTGACATTACTAGACAGATCATCGAGGAAGAAAATTACAGAGATACTCAGAACCTGAACTGAGCTCTGGATCAAGTGGACCTGATAGATATCTACAGAACTATCCACCCAAAACAACAGAATTAACATTCTTCTCAAAAAGACATACAAGTGGCTAACAAACATATGAAAAATAGCTTAACATCAGTGACCATTAGAGAAATAGAAATCAAAACCACAATGAGCTATTATCTCACACCAATTAAAATGGCTACTATTAAAAGTTAAAAAACAACAGATGCTGGCAAGATTGCAGAGAAAAAGAAATGCTTTTACACTGTTGGTGGAGTATAAATTAATTAAACCATTGTGGAAGACAGTGTGGTGATTCCTCAAAGACAGAGACAGAAATACCATTTGACTGAGCAATTCCATGATTGGATGTATACCCAGAGGGATATAAATCATTCTATTATAAAGATACATCCATGTTTTTTTCATGGCAGCACTATTCACAATAGCAAAGACATGGAATCAACCTAAATGCCTATCACTGATAGACTGGAGAAAGAAAATGTGGTGCATATACACCATGGAATACTATGCAGCCATAAAAAGGAAGGAGATTATGTCATTTGCAGGGACATGAATGGAGTTGGAAGCCGTTATCCTCAGCAAACTAATGCAGGAACAGAAAACCAAACACCCCGTGTTCTCACTTAGAGAACTGAGGGAGCTGAACTGTGAGAACACATGGATACATCAGGGGGGACCACACATACTAGGGCCTCTTAGGGGGGGTGGTGTGGGTGAGGAGAGAACAAGCCCCAGGAAGAATAACTAATGGATGCTCCACTTAATACCTAGGTGATGGGATGATCTGCGCAGCAAACCACCACGGCACACAAGTTTACCCATGTAACAAACCACATCCTGCACATATACCCCTGAACTTAAAAGTTGAAGAAAAAAAATAAAGAATTAAAAAATGTATATATGGATGTATTTATTCCTGGTGGTATAAGGACGCAGATTATGCTTCCTTGAGCACTTTCTTCTCCCTTTTTCTAAATAAATTTGTGATATGTCCTTGCTAACTATATTGGGCACATTTACCAATTTACTACTTCCTTATGAATAAAATCCATTTTTTTTCTCCATTGGAAAGCTATCCTAGTTCCTTCACTGGGTCTATTTTTCCCAATTATCAGTCTATTACTCTAATGGCACGAAGCCACAGCCTCTCGCCCAGTCCATACCAGTCTGCACTCTGGTAGGACGCCGCTGCTGAGCTGAGGAATGACAGAGGTGGCATCATAGGTCCTCATATCTCTGATACAGCCAACACTACTTCAGAGAAGAGTGACACTGATTTGCTCTCAACTGAAGGCAAATATTTGCTGTTATTAAATTTTTTTTTCATTTTTAGGCAAACATATTTTTCTACTTCTTCAATTCCTACTACAATACCTTGAGCTTTCTATAAGCCAGAACAAATTCAGCCTTCCCTTATCTTTTTATATGTCAGCTTTGTGTATGGAAGAAGGCAACTTTTTAAATGTATCCTGAAATCACTAATATTTTGTCTCATTTCTCTCTTTTTTTTTTTTTTAAACCAACATCTGTGGTACCCCGATGTAACCATAATTACAAAGTGGAAGATTAGTCAATGACATGAAAAAAAGAAACATGAATAGAAAGAGAGAGATGTTGCTCATAGAAAATACACATTTACAGCAAACAGGAATAAATATGTGGCTCCCTTATTGTATTAAGGCAAAAACAGATCAGCCTTAAGTGCAAATAAAAAATGTAATCTTCATGTTAAATGACTTTTTCCTTAACATGAAAAAAGAAATGGACTTTTAATATTTGTTGTATTTTTTTTTTTTCCACTTCAGGCTGTTTACTAAAGCTTTATTCTTTTTCAGTACTTTTCCATGTTTATTGTACTTAGTTTAGCCTGGTTTATCACATTGTTTTGACTTCATTTGTTGTTGTTGATTTTTGCCAGAGTTGAAGTTGGGCATTGTTCCATATTTAATCTGACAGATAGTTCTGGCAAGTCCTAGGGCACTTAGCTAATTGCTCGAACATGTACCATTGCACACCACTCATGCCTTGCGCATGTCACATGACTTTTTTTTTTTTTTTTTTTTTTTTTTTGCGGGGGGGGACAGGGTCTTGCTCCGTTGCCAGGTGTCAGGCTGGAGTGCAATGGCGCGATCTCGGCTCACTACAACCTCCGCCTCCTGGATTCAAGCAATTCTCCTGCCTCAACCTCCTGAATAGCTGGGATTACAGGCACACGCCACCATGCCCAGCTAATTTTTTATTTTTAGTGGAGACGGGGTTTCACCATGTTGGCCAGGATGGTCTCAATCTCTTGACCTCGTGATCCGCCCGCCTCGGCCTCCCAAAGTGCTGGGATTACAGGCGTGAGCCACCGCGCCCGGCTGTCACGTGACTTTTAAGGAACAATCCAAACATACTCTCCTGTGAGCCAAAGGAGGTTTTTCAGATCAATTTGGTCTTCTTTGGAATAAAATTACTTTTATCAGTAACCAAAGAAAAGAATTTGCGCAAGTAGACCCTATCCTTCAGTGCCATATCCATTTATTATTTTTCCTTTGTTTGAAAACAGAGATATTGATTAAAATTCTGCACTTGTAGATTTCTGTGGACTCTATGCCTCTAAGGAAATACTCTTTACAGCATGGGAGAGAATGTGGCTCATCAGGAATCATAGCCTTATTACCAAAGTCTGTCCAAGCTGCCACTTAAAGAAAATTACCATGTGCCTTTTTCAGTTCTCCAGAAGCAAACCCTGAGATAAAGGTTCACGTGCAAGTGTTAAGTTGTTGCAAAAGTAATTGGAGTTTTGCCTTCACTTTTAATAGCAAAGACTGCAATTATTTCTGTACCAACCTAAACAGTTTAAGGAAGCCTCCCAGAATAAAATGGTAAAAGAATGGAGAAAATAAGACAGGGAAGGGGAAGAAGTTAATAAGGGTATGATTTCAGGCAAAGTCTAATCTCTAGCTGATCCTGTGTGGAACTCAGGAGTGTAGTTTTCACCTCACAGTTCGTCAACACTCAAAGCACAGGAGCTGGGCATTCTTGATCTATGAGTCAGTCACTGGCTACGAGATGCCCTGGAGGGGTGTGAGCTCTAAGGCATGCAGGGGAAGGGGAGTCTCCTAGCCAAGTGACAGTTGCGTGAAGAACACTGCAGATACAGGTCATTAGAAGCAAAGTTCACAGAAGCTGGAGACAAATGCATGAATATGATTAAGGGAATCCAAGGGGAACCTAAAAGAGCATTGAATTCTACACCATGTATCCATCTCAGCACATTTGCACATATTTTGTATGCTGTTCATTCAGCATCAAAATGTGCTATGAATCTAGCTCAGTGTTGTCCAATATTTGACATGAGTCAAATATGTAATTTTAAATGTTCTAGTAGACACATTAAAAAAGTTAAAAAAAAATCTATGTGTATATATTTCAATAATATATTTTATGCAGTATATTCAGACATGTAGTTAATAAAAACAATTGAGACATTTTATGTTCTGTTTTTGTGCTTGGTCTTCATAATCAAATCTGTATCTTGTATTTACTGCACATGACTACTCTCAAGTGTGTTCAATAGCTACATGTGGCTAGGGGCTATTGCATTGGACAGCACAGATCTGGCTGGTTTCTTGAGCTGTTACTTTGTGCATTTACCATGTGGTACAGTCAGAAAAATTAATGTTTTACAATGAAAATTAAGTTTTTCCTATACTCTACTACATATGATATAATCCACGGTATAAATTGCACAGTTCTTGAACCATCTTAAGTTTTCTGAAAATATTTCATCTCCTTCCACAAGGGGGTCCCTTATGGCTACCCTTGGACAAAGTGACTGTCCAGCTGGACACAACTGATTAATCAAAATAGACCTGACCCACGCTGGGCCAATCATACTCACTTTCTTAAGGATTAGGTGTATTCCCAGTGGCTTTTCAGATTCTGATTCCAGCCCTCTCTGAAGCTTGGCTTCATTTCTGCCCTTGGCTTTGGTGAAATACGGCTGTAAATATAAAACAATTCTTTATTAAGTTGCTTGCAAATGAAAGAATCATAACTAGCAATGAAAACAGGTACTGGGAGTGCAGAGACACTGTGATCCTGACTGTGTCAAGGAAAAGGACAATGGATCCTGCCCGTGCTGGACTGGGAAGACAACAGGCCATACAATGACACTGATGTTCACTGTCTTGAAACCTAGACCAGTAGAACTTGTTGATCAGAATTTAGGAGACTTAGAAACAAAATTCAAAGATGTCCTATCACAGCATGTAATTCCTCTTTGGAAACTCCAGAAAGGTGCAGCAGGGCAAGGAAACAGGATAATCTAGTAGGAAGGAGATACAGACAATTTGTGTTTATTTCCTTTTCACCCTAGAGTTTACTCTTGACACAGGAGTCATAATGATTCTTTTAAAATCCAAGTCAAATCATATCACTCCCTTTTCCAAAATATTCCAATGATTCCTGAGTGAGGGATCACTCAGGCAAAGTGTGAGATAGCCAAGGTCCTTAAAATGACTCATAGTGGCTGACAGCATCTGGCTTCTAAAAACCCCTCTGCTATTTCCTATTATGCCTCTCCTTGCTCACTCCACACAGTAACTTTCTTGTGGTTCATACACGTCAAGTCCCACTTTGAAGTCTTTGCGCTGACTGAAAGAACCACTCTTTTCTTTCCTCCTTCACCGTATTTGATATATTTCTTAAATGTTACCTCTCCATAAATACTACCCCCATCATTCTGTTAAAATTATAACCCTTTCTCATTGGCATCATTACCAAAATCTTCTAGCCTTACTACATTGTTTAAAAGCTAGTATCTCCTATGGCATGTATTTGCATATTGTATAATATGTATTTTTAATGTGCATTTGTTAATTTTATTTATGTACTTTAAAATTCTTCCACCACCAAAATATAAGCTCCATGAGGTCAGGGATTTTTTTCTTCCATAAAATGATATATACTTAAACCCCAATATAGATATATATAGTTTATATATTGAGTGAATGAATGAATGATGAACACATCCTGACATAATTAATTATTTGAGGATCCAAACAAATACATTTATTGGGCACACTGCTACACTGCAGGAACAAGATTATTTTTAATCTTCTTTCTGCTGCTAAGATTGGCACACTCATTGTGAAAACGTAGGGTCTTTTCATTAGAATGGAGATGCGTGAAAAGAAAGAACAGTATTCAAGTCCAGCAACAGCATGCCCACAAATCCCTTCAGGACACCTCTACCTGCATTTCACCA